GAACAAGCTTGCTTTATCTCAGGAAAAGAAATGTGGCTAGGTGGAAAGAGCAAGACTAGACTGAGGTAGTTGTAGCAGGCAGGGGCCAGATGACAATTATTGTGCATATCACTTCCTATTTCATTCCTTCTTCCATCTGGCTCTTTTTTCCATTCTGTTTTCCTTCCCTCCCTTTTGCTTCTAGCTTAGGTTTAAGATCTAGTCAATAAATAGCTATAAAAGTTTGTTTTTGTTTGTTTTGAGAAAGGGTCTAACTCTGCTGCTAGAGCTAGAGTGCAGTGATGTCATCATAGCTCACTGCAACCTCAAACTCCTAGGCTCAAGTGAGTCCTCAGCCTCCCAAGTAGGTGTGACTATAGGGACATACCACCATGCCCGGCTAATTTTTTAAGATATACTTTGTAAAGACAGAGTCTCACTATATTGCTCAGGCTGGTAATGGCTACAGAAGCTTATAACTGCAGTTCTACTAGCTTTTAAAATAACAAATCAAATCAATAAGCATTTATTAAGAGCCTTGTGGAATATGGGGTGACCAGTTCATCCCGGTTAAAGCACTGGGAAATGCCACCACATTGCAGGAACTCCCTCAGAACCTGGCAAATGGAGCCATTTGGTCATGCTGGTGGGATATGTAGACACACAAGCAGAGGCTTTTCAGAAGCCCTTGATGTTAACTAGTAACAGATAACACTTAAATAACGCACATAAAGGCACTTAATTCAATCCTCACAACACTCTATTAAGCCCATTTCAGAAATGAGGAAATCAAGGCTTACTAGAGCAAAGAAAAATTCCCAAGATCCCCCAACAGTAAGACACAGACACACACACACACAAAAGGTAAACAATGCAAGTGAGAGTTCAAAATGACAAGCGTATGTAATAATTACCAAAAGAATAATAAGGAGTAATAAGTAGCCACAAAAGCACTATAGGAGGTTGGAGGAAGTACTGGCTAGAGTGATTAGGAAAGGTTTTGAAAAGGTGGATTGAAGCCAGGCCCCACCAGCATTTGAAAAGGTAGACTGGAGGAGCGCAATTTGGCCTAAGGAAAGAACTGTTGTGAACAAAAGCAATGTGACATGTACAAACCAGTTTAGGCTGCAGTAGGCTGAAGAGGAAAGTGGTAGGTTAAAACATTTTCTACAAGGTCTCTTCCCATTTAAAACGAAGGCCAAACTCCTCAGTGTAACACCTAACACCCTTTGGTTCCAATCACTCCAGACGAACTATACTCCTACTTCCCTCACAAAACCCACACTCCTGTTAGAAGACTATAACCTTGTCATAACCTGAACATATCCTGCATGTTTCCTCCATGCATGGCTTTGTTCGTCTATTAAGATGTGTTTCTGTTCAGGACCAACAGCCAAAATCCTACCCATTCTTCGAGACCCAGTTTAAATGCTACTTCCCCCATGAAGCCTACCCAACCTAGCCTATTATTGCTCTTTTCCTTGGGGTTCCCAAGGCATTTTGTTTCTAGTTTTACTTGCACGCTGAATTACAGGTAGGTCGGGGCGCTGTGCAAGCTGTTGAACCCTATCTAGGCAATAAGGATGGATGTCTCAGACTCAGACAATCAGGGAACAGAAGTTCAAAGCTGTCAACTTTCTAGGGAATGATCGGCAAGATGAATCTGATCAATAAGCCCTCAAGAGAAAAGAAGGAAGAAGTATCTTTTGTTGAAGGAATAAGCAACTACATACCAGTCTTCACAAGGCAGGTGAAGGCATGTGTAGAATATGCATGTTTCGAAACCGCTTTTAGTCTGTTTGTTAGCTGTGGCTGTTTGTGAAGCAAATGCTTTCCAGATGGAAAACTTGACTGAGCAGAAAACAAGAACTTCTGCCACACACACAGTGAGCTGGAGTTTCATTTTTAAAGGAACACCAGCCCTTGAATCCCAGAGAATTTAAGGCTAGAATATTGGTGGTGTGAATACACTTTCAATTTTATCTGAGATGTGTTCTGAAACTTGGCTAACCTCCTTTGAGTATGCTGACATGGATGAAACTATACACAGAGCTTTGTACTGAGAGGCCACAAGGGCTGGCAAATGTTAGTAGGACACAGTGAAACCTCAAGCAGATCTTTCAAAGGTTAATTTAAGATGAACTAAAATGATTATAAAGCTAGACCAGAATTATGACTACACTGGAAACACATCAAAACACCACAGTGAACCCCATAAATACATGTAATTATCACCTGTCAGTTAAAAATTAAATTAAAAAAAGGCCAAGTATGGTGGCACGTTTCCTATAATACTAGCACTTTGGGAAGCCGAGGCAGGAGGATCACTTGAGCCCAGGAGCTTGAGGTTGAAGTGAGCTATGATCATGCCACTGCACTCCAGCCGAGGTGACAGAGCAAGACCCTGTCTGGAAAAAACAACAACAAAAAAATTGGAATTGGAATTAAAAGTAGAGACCAAAGCATTCAGATAACAAAACAAAACCCAACTGCTGACACTGACTTCTCAAAATACCACAGCTCTGTTAGGCCTTTAAGGTGTCAGCTATTATTTTAAAAGGCACAATTTCGATGACAAATTAGGTCGCCCCCTTCTGGTCATGAAATTATACAAGCTTAAGGCAGGAAAGATTTTACTCAATTCAAATACTGACAGCATCTGAATTTTGTCCATATTTGAATAACTTCTCCATAAACTTTGGAAAAGCTACTTAAGTTTTCAACAGACGTCACTGTTGGGAAATCCTTATTGTTCAACTCTATACAAAGGATACTAAAGATTTTTCAAGATTCTTTTAAAACAGAAATATTCAAGCTATTTTGCTTGCTGCTGAAACTCAGAACCTGGAGGCTAAGGGATCTAAAATGGCCAGGTGTAGATCTAAAGGTCTACACCTTTTCCATATTTAATACCACGGCTAGTACATTAAAAACTGAGGCTAAGAAAAGCATGCCGAGGGCGAACAGTTTTACTCTGACGAATGTCACAGGTTTAAGACAGGCAAAAAAAAAAAAAAAAGACAGGCAAACTACTATACATAAATACACATTAATTATGCTAACACATGGAGTTATCACAATGGATCTCAAAGCCCTAGCCATTCATTCATCAACAATCTGAACAGCCTACTATGAGCCAGACACTGGATGAATGAGCAGTATGGGAGCCCACAGACTAGCCATTAGCCTTCCACTCCAAAAACTCCTCAGAGAACATATGAAGTGAAAATCTACCATCTAATGCAAAATCTTTTAAATCACCACAGATAGTCTATGAAAAAGGGAGATTATGGTGGATAAACTACAAGATTACAAAAAATGAACCAATTCTCTTTTTAAATGGTATGAACAAAAAAAGTAACATTTTCCTACACCCTAAAATGGTCCTGAGAAAGTATAATGGTGGCTTTCTTTCTTTAGATGTATAGTTAGAAAATTATAGGTATACTGTATTAAAAAATGCAGAAGGCTAGGGTACCTTACTTGGTCTCCTTTAATAAAGAAGCTAGAAGCACTAAGCTACATACACACTATTTACATTTTTAATGATAAGCAATTTGGGTTACAGCAGCTACCGAAGAAAAATGTTGCCACAGGGAAAACCAAAAATGACTTAAGGTCTTCTACTGCCCTGAAACTTCATTAAGGTGCAACCGGACCCAATACAGGTGGCTTTTCGATTATACCATTTTCCCTTGTAAATGTCTACAAGGCACTTAGGGAGGCACACAGGTATTATTAACTTCCCATCTGTATTCCTGAATCTATTCTAGTATAACTGATCTCTTTGTAAATTCCACCTCAATTGAGTTAAACCGATACATGTCTAAATATAATACCAATCCATGAAAAACTCTCAAACGAAACTTTGAAAAAAGGGTAAAATATTGTTCCCTTTGTATTCAAATCTTCCAACAAGGAAAAGCTGGCTAAAAAACATGAGCCCAAGAAAAATATATTATTTCATAAGTTCACATACTTACTTTTCCTTGTCTCCCAGTTTCCCACATCATCTCACAATCTCTCACTACCTCACTCCATTCCTTAACTATTAACTCATCTATTCATTTTTACGATTTCACCACCCTCTGTGATACCAGTAACAATCCCAGATAAGAACTTATGGAACTAATTTTGAATCAAAGCAAGAGCTGCACTTGGATTTCTTTTTTTTTTTTAAACTCCCCAGAGCAATCAACGAGCGAAGGTGGTAATAGAAAACCTGGAAAAATGAAAATGTGTTCGATCTTCTCTTCACACATTATTTTTACAGCCTCCCCACTGTAAGGGCCCATCAAATAGCAGGGGTGGCCCGTTTTCCCCTTTTCTCTTCCACACCTTACAGAAATACTCTCATACTCTCGGGATCTCCGCCCTACTTATTCTAACAGCTCCTCCCCCTCTAGAGCCGGCCGAGTATCGGCCCCTCCCCCTCTTCTCCCTCTCCCCAATTCACTTAATACCTTCCCTCATCAGCACACTTTCAGATGTCCAGCTCCCTCTTCCAATTTACTCTTAAGTTACTTCTTCGTATCTCTGCAAGCGATAATCCTTTGGTAGCCAAGGCCAGACCCGATATCCTCAGATTACATTTCTAAACCTCTGGTCTCGAAGTCGTCAGCCCTTCCTCACGCGTACCCAAGCATTAAGGCTGTCCCCTTCCCAATTTCCTAAAGTGTTTCCTCTCCAGCCCTATTCCACAGCCGCCCATCCAACCAAGCAGCATTGTTTTGGTCTACACAGGCCCCGAAGAGCGAGACCCCCCCCGCAAGTGCTCGGCCCACCCCTAATCACTTCGATCTCAGGATTCGCCGCCCCGCCCTCTCCATCCTTCACGCTGCTGGCGCTAGACCCTCAGCGCCAGGCGGGGTGCTCCCCGGGGAAAGTGGAGGGACAGGGTGCTGGACCCGGGCACACTCCGCGCTCCTAACGGCCGCCGCGAGAGAGCGGCCCCTCACCCTGGGCTTCCGCCGCCGCCGCGCCCCCCTCCCCCGCTCTCTCTCCTTTAGCGGGCTCTTCACCTCAGAGCAGCGCCCAAAAACCCGAGAGGAATCGGTGCTGCGCTACTGGCGCGTCGCGTCGGGCCAGCCGGGGGAGTGGCGCCCAGGAAAAGCAACAAGCTGGTGGCCGCCGAGGAGCCCCTCAATGAAGCGGCGTACCGCAGGCCCCGGCCAGCGGCCCTCCCCTCTGTCGAACAAAAGAGCCTCGCACTCTGCGCAGCCCGCCGCCCGCACTGCGCAGGCGCGACGACCCGCCGCACGGCACCATGGGACTCCGAGTCCTTCCAAGACTACAAAGCCCGAAGTGCTGCGCGAGTCCACGCCACGCACGCACAACTTGCGTGGGTCATAGGAAGTTTTAGTTTTTAAACTGCGGTGGTGGAGGCAGTGTAGTTAAGAACGTTGCAACCTCGAAAATTAGAACACGTGATCTTACAAGCGAGCCCTAGATGCTTCATTCGAAAAATGAACCACTTCTGAACAGTTCTGTAATTCACATCCCCGAAATTTTTGAATCTTAACAGGTTCCTCATCAGCTTTATCAAATCTCCGCCGTTTTAAATCTCTGTAAAATTCCTACTCTTCAGGGTTGAGATTACTTCCCCTTCGAGGCCTTTCCAGACTCCGTAGACTAGGTCTCGTCTCTCTGGTAGGTATTCTCATGGCTTCCTAAATCCTCTTTTTCATTGGCCACGCCAGTGGGAGGCTTTAGTGCCGACCCCTTAATCTCCATGAGTACCCCTCACCCAGCTACCCCACAGCAACGGAATTAGGCAAAAACCCTGCTAGTTATTCGAGAAAAGTGTTCTGGTTTTTCTAATTTCAATTACATTGCTTTCTCCAAACCTGTTCATATGGAAATTCAGTCTCCCGTCATGACATTCACCCATTTTAATGTCATTACTTAATGTCTGCCTTCCCTTCTGGACTCTAAACTCCCATGAGGGTGCACACCCTACCTTGTGTTGTTCACCACTCTATCCCCAGTACCTAATTCAGTCCCTGGCATACAGTAGTGAATCAATATTTGTTGAATAAATGATTAGGTGAATGAATGAGATGTCCTTCTACCTGAGAGAAAATTGAGCTGATCAGGCTTTCCTCCATCCCTCCTCTTCACCTCAGATTTGTTTTTTTTTTTTTTCACTCTCTCCCTTACTCTCCTTTTCCCTATCTAATTAGGAACTGAATAGAACTTCTACTAGGAGAAGTTAACTTTTTTTTTTGATTTGAACATTAAAGTATCCTTCTAATCAGGAGGAAAGGGGAAAGGCAATTAGTCTATTGGACGCTACTCCAGAATGCAGGAGTCTGCATTTATGTAACAGTTTTGTGGGTACAGGCACTGTTCAGCGGTCTGAAGAATTGCCATGAAAGAAAACCAGCTCAGCAATATGATAACAGAGTTAAGTTAAAAGAGTTTCAAGAAAGCACAGAGAGAATTGTTTCTGAGACATTTGGGTTGGGTCTCTATGCAGAAGCAAAAATTCATCTACTCCCTCCTGAAGTGTCCTGTTTTGAATAACATTAATGATGAGAAAATTAGTTGTAATAATATTAGTTACTAATATTGAGTATTTATCCCAGTGCTGAATTCTGTTAAATTCTTTTTTTTTTTTTTTGAGACAGAGTCTCACTGTGTCGCCCGGGCTAGAGTGCCGTGGCGTCAGCCTAGCTCACAGCAACCTCAGACTCCTGGGCTCAAGCGATCCTACTGCCTCAGCCTCCCAAGTAGCTGGGACTACAGTCATGCGCCACCATGCTCAGCTAATTTTATGTATATATATTTTTAGTTGTCCAACTGATTTCTTTCTATTTTTAGTAGAGACGGGGTCTCGCTCTTGCTCAGGCTGGTCTCAAACTCCTGAGCTCAAACGATCCTCCCGCCTCAGCCTCCCAGAGTGCTAGGATTACAGGCATGAGCAGAATTCTGTTAAATTCTTGACTGATCTTATTTAATCCTCACAACAACCCTGGGAGGTGGGAATTACGATTTCCAATTTGCAGAGAAGGCTCAGATGTACAACCTATCCAATGGCATCTACTGATAAGTGGTGGAAGCAAGATTTGATCTCACTTGTAACTTCCAAACCATACTCCTGTCTGGATAAAATGTTGCCATCTCTAATTCCCCATATTGAGCTGAATTCTGCTTCTCATGTAAATGTTACCTCTTTTCGCTAATTCTGGCTTCTGTAGCCACAGAGTAAACTTAATCCCTCTTTCATATGATTTTTCTTGTATTGAAATTCATACTTCATATTCCCTAAGATCTTGCTTTTCTAGGCTAAATGTCACCATTTTTTAAAACTGTACATCATAGGGTAACAGTTTTGGACCTAGCACATCTATTAATAGTTTGTTAGTAAATTCTGGTTCTTATGTGTGCATTTCAAAGTAGAGAGAGCCACCACTGCCCTGGTGTTTATACCATTCCTTAATAAAGGGAGCCAAAAGTTATCTTCTCTTTTTAGGTAGCCCAGCGCCAGTGGTTTATGCTAATTTGGAATTCTGCTAGAGATGGATGTCAAACTCACAAGCCTAAAGATTCTGCGTTAACAATATCTGTTTTGAAAATTGTTTGGATCAAATGGTTTGAGTTCTTTTTCTCTTCCCATAAGAATAGTAATATTTTAAGTAATTCGGACCCTCAGAGTTTCTTTTTCTTATAAAGGTAACTCAGTCATAATAATCTTACTCAAGACAATATTTGAAGTGGCATTGCTTATGTGCACAGGACATGCATCTGTCACATCCTGTCTCTAAAATCACAAGTAATGTAGGGAAGAGAGGCAGTGTGATGTTGCAAAAAGAACAGGGGCTTGGGAATCAGGTTGAACTGGATTTTATTCTGCTGTGTAACATTAGACAAGCTGCTTAACTTCTCTGAGCCTCAGCCTCACAAAAATCTAAAACACATGAAAATATTTTAGAACCTACTTTGCAGGATTTCTGTGGAATCAACAGTAATGGTGAATAAAAGGAATGCCATATAGCTGGCACTCAGTAAACAATAGCTGTTTTAGATAAGTAGATAGCTGTTTCTGAGATGTAATTTAAAAGGTAGGGGAAGTACAGAACTTTAAAAATATTTTCCTCCACATTGTCTGAAATTCTTTGTTTCATTTTGACTACCACTTGAAATTCTATTGTTAAAGATTTATTCATTTGGGGTTAACAAGCACCGTCTTTTAAAATGCAAATATACTTAAGAGCTATCTCTTCTCCCTGACCTCTTCCTATCAATCTGATTCTCATAGTGACTTCCTGGTAGTAACTGGACTCTAATTAAAATATACACATCTCAAATCATGCACCCCTGACTTTGGTTTTCTCACATGAAGGGATCACTGCTGCAGAGGTACCTGTCATTTGCTAGCACTTCAAATAAGATAAGGATTGGCCCCATTGTCAATTGTTAGAAATTATTGTTGAAAACTAAGTCAGAGATAGGGTGCCACCTGTTTGCGAAGACTATATTACATTTAAATTATTTAATGAATTTATTTGAAAAGAATTACTGAGTAATGTGTGGGGTATGGGAGGGCAGGAATGATGCTAAACCCTTACATTCTTTATTATATAAGCTCCAGGAGGTCACGGTATTCTCCTGTTTGGTTCACTGCTTTATTCTTAGTGCCTAAAACAGTGCTGGCCCACTTAGTATTTGTTGATTAATGGATACGTTCTGCAGATATACTCTGTGGAGGTGGTTCACCAAGTGTAGTCCACAGACTCAGTACCTGAGATGGTTTCATGGAGTCTGCATGGTCAAAACTATTTTCATAATAATACCTTATTTGCTCTTTTTCACTGTGTTGACATTTGCACTGATGAAGCAAAAGTAACAGTGGGTGAAACTGCCTGCATCTTAGTGTGAATCAAGGCAGTGGCATCAGCTTGTACTAGTCACTGTATTCTTCACTACCACACATACAATAGAAGAATTACAAAAGCCTTTTGCACTTAAGACTATTCTTGGTGAAGTAACAAAAATAATTTTATGGTGTCCCTTTCCTAGAGTACCTGTCTCTCATGTTTTATGTGATTAAATGGGAGGTATGCATAAGGCACTTCTGCTGCTTACTGAAGTATAATGGTTGTAAAATTGTTCAAGATGTGTGAGTTAAAAAACTAGCTGCTTTTTTCACAGAACACTATTTTTACTTGGAAGAATGACTGACAGAAAAACTATGGTTATTCAGACTTGTGCGTTTGAAGTAAATGAGCCTGCCACTTCAAGGAAAATCAAAGTATTACTGCCAAAGAAAAATTTGAGGTTTCAAGCTAAAATTGTAATTTTGGAAAATATGACATCTACCACAGTGAGCTTGACAGCTTCCTGACACTTTCTTGATGAGATCAGTGATGATTTTAATAAATGTGATTTTTTTACATTGAATAATGAAATACATTAACATTGGAAGATCTGAATAACTCTGTACCAGATCTGAATAACTCTGTACCAGTATTTTCCAAATGGTTTCAGATTCCCCATTGCACTTAACCTTTAAGAAACTACTGGCCGGGCGCGGTGGCTCACGCCTGTAATCCTAGCTCTCTGGGAGGCCGAGGCGGGCGGATTGTTTGAGCTCAGGAGTTCGAGACCAGCCTGAGCAAGAGCGAGACCCCGTCTCTACTAAAAATAGAAAGAAATTAGCCGGACAACTAAAAATATATATAAAAAAAAAAACTAGCCAGGTATGGTGGCGCATGCCTGTAGTCCCAGCTACTCGGGAGGCTGAGGCAGGAGGATCGCTTGAGCCCGGGAGTTTGAAGTTGCTGTGAGCTAAGATGACGCCACGGCACTCTAGCCCGGGCAACACAGTGAGACTCTGTCTCAAATAAAAAAGAAACTACCATTTGTTGAGTTTTGGTAGTATCAAAGAAGGGTATTCACAATTGTTGAAGAAGGCTAAAAATACTCCTCCCTTTCCAACCATATATCCCTGTAAGGCTGGATTTTCCTCATGTACCAAAACAACATAGCACAACAGAGAATGGGGAAGCAAATATGAGAATTCAGCTGCCTTTTATTGAGCCAAGACAGTAAAGAGATTTGCAAAATTATAATACAATGCCACTCTACTCACTATTTTTTTTTGTTTTGGAAAATATACTTCATAAAATATGTTAACACATAATGGTTTATTATTATTGTTTTAAATGAATTAATACATATTTTTGAATTTCTCATTTTAATTTCTAATTCGGTGAATATCCCACATAAACAAAAGCTCCTTGGGGTCCTTAATATTTTTTAAGAGTTTGTGTAAACAAATTCTGAGACCAAAAGTTTGAGAAATGCTGCTTTGAGTCATGTGCAATAATCTCCACCTTACACATAAGGAAACTACCATTGTATTTTTTACTGGTCCTACAAAGATTGAGAACCAGTTCAAGGCCTCACAGTCTGTGTAGTGATGGGTATTGTGTTCAGGTCGTCTAACTCCAGGGTTTGTATCTGTGACCACAGCTTTCCCCTTGATAATATCTTTGCTAAAATTATCTTTAAACAAGTTGTTAAAAGACATTTCAACAACGCCAAAAAGGTCGTCAACATATTCAACGGCTTTCTTTTGCTTACTGACTAGTTGCATGATCCTTCTTTGGGTTTGTTTCGGCGAGTGCAATTCGAGTGGCTGGAATCTCTGAAGTCCGGTTTTTGCTCTGGCAATCAATTTGCGGCTTTATGAATCAGAGTTGGAGTTCCCCTGATAGCTCCGCTGGGGAACTGCAACCTACGGGGTTCAAATGCGGGCTCTTTCGGACTTAGGCTCCAGGAATATGGGCGTTTCCCCCCAACAACCTCGACAGCCGGTGGCATTCTTAGAAGGAGAACGAGAGTGACAACCTCCTCAAATCTCTCTGCTCCCAGGACCCACTGCAGACCTTTAATGATGCTCCCTGGGCGCTGATTGGCTGCACCTGACGACGGTGGGCGGGACGCGGCCCTGGATTGGACGTCGGAGCCCATTTGCCACTCCTTACCCAGCACCCGCGTCCACCTTCCAGCGCCCCAAGTGAGTTGAAGAGGGGGAATCCGGAATCCAGCCTGGGGCCTGGGCGGGGCGGAGCCGCGCCGCCCGGGAGCAGGAATCGCCACTGAGACCCGGGACCTGCAGGGGCGGGGAGTCATGGGCACCAGGGATTAGCGCGTCGGGAGGCATCTCCCATAATGCACTGGGGCACCGGCGACTCACCCGGAAGGAGAAGCCGTGATTCTGGCTATATGGTGGGGCGCGGGCGGTGTCGCTGTGGGGAGCTGGTGCTGCTCTCAGGTGAGGGAGTGTGGGCGTGGCTCCAGGGAGTGGGTGCTGCTCTCAGGTGAGGAGGAGCGGGCTTGAGCGTCAGTATTGGCACTTGGAATGGTGGCCTCCCTTTACATCCTAAGGAAGGGTATATCTCATCATCCAGGATGAAGGCGGGAGCTTCGAGATCCAAAAAAGGAAACCTAGCTTTTCTCTTTTACTTTGAAAGTATAAAGTATCTTTCTTTCCTACTCCCCAAGCTTAACTGGGAAAGAAAAAGGAGTATGTGGCCTTTTTGCTCCCAGTTCGTTAAGAATGGACGGGGAGTGGCCGTAGTAAAAATCTGGGGACATTTACTCACACGGCTGGGACTAGAGGACAATGGCAAGTATTTTACGCGGACACAGGAGACTTGCGCTAGATTGTGGTTACTTTTGTTACTTACCTTCCAAGTGGAAGGAGGAGCAGGTTACAGATGGACGAAAAGATGGAATATAACTGGTTGAGATCACACAGAGCTTAGTCAGACAGGGGAGCTTCCTCTAGCACCTGTAGGTATTTAGGAAGGAGGGCTTTTTGAGTTGCCATCTGCCATCTGGCACCAAGGGCTCAAGAATGAATAAGAAGGCCAGGAGTCTCGGCTCAATTTGCTTTTATCACACGATTTGTTTTTTAACCTGTCTCTTGAAGTAGTTTAAATGGGAGAGAAAATAGTGAGGCTAAAGCCTCGAATTGCTATCTTGAATTGTTAAGACACTGGAAAGCTTTATGATGAATCTTCATTGTAAACAGCAAACCACCGGGGTCTCACCAGAGCTGTTGGTGCTGGTAGAGGTGGAGCAAGTAAAGGAAACTTAAGATGTGATTGAAGAGGTCCCAGGAAATGTAGTTAGCACTGAGTAAGTTACATAACTAGCTGAGAGGGTCACTGATTCTATCTTTATTTGGATGACACACAGACCCACCTCCCAGATCATAGAGTTGAAGTTAAGAACTTCCTGCTTCTCCTCCAAAGGCAGAACTGAGCTTCATTTTCTTCTGTGGAGGAAGCTGATGGAGAATAGTGGTTGCTAGAAGTGGTTGCTTGGAATGTAGGTTATTGTACTTGTTCCATTGTTTTTATGGAAAGTGACAAGTGAAACTTTCTTGGTGTCCTTTAAACTTAGATTTAAGTATATAGCATTTTGGGAGTCCTGGGTTTTTTTTTTAAGCCAATTTATAGCTATTTGTTTCTAAGTGGAATTGGCCCCAAAGGAAAGAACTTCCTCATGGAGGTACAGGGCCCTATGCAAACTCTTCTAGAGACCAAGGGTATGATGATCATTTAGTTACTAAATTATGGTCTCGAATTTGGCAAACCTTTCAAGGCACAGGAGATGTGTGAGCTCCACTCAGTGTGGATGACCATGATTTCCTTGTCATCATCTTTCCTATTGTTACTTTTGTGAAAAGACACTTTAGAATATTTAACTCTGTTCCTGTGCTGGGAATTTACCATATGCCTGAAAAGAGAAGAGAAAAAAAATTTTTTTAATACAAGGAGGTTAATTGTTCACAGCAAGTTGTTCTGCTCTTTTTGGTCACAGCCATTTGACTGCTTACATGTGGAATGTTATACATGGGTTGTTATGGAATTGGAATTTTCTACCTTTCAGTTCGAGACCCCTTGGAGTTAGTGACTGCATCAGACGAAAAATCAGATTGTCAGCAAGAATACTGTTTAAGATGGTATTGAAATCACAAAACCTTGGGTTTGCTCAACAGTGTAACCCAATTTTGTCATAGACCATGTAGCTTTGTCTCTGCATGCAGTGTCTGTCTGTGGAGAGACCTTCTGGTATATTGGAAAGAATTGGAAAAGCTGTTTGCTCTGCTAATTTCATTGTGTAAATGAGTTCCCCTTCTTTTGAAACGTTAGCCTTGTGTTAGCAAAACATAAAATAGAAGGAAACTCATTACACACTCTTCTAATGGTAAGGCAGAACTAATAAGAGAATGTATTTAAAATTAATTGTGGGACTGTAAAAATGAGCGGGTATGTGAATAGGCATGGGGGGAGGAGAAGGAGAGCTTAGAGATAGTCTTGTTGTCCCAGGAGCCAGCCTGGATCATTTGTTGGCAGTACATATTGGCTGAAGTCAGTTTTCATTTCAAGGTAAATTGGAAAGGGAAATTAAAACCTTATTGTTTCGCTCTTAAGAGAGGGGAAGGGGGTGTAGGCGGCAGCCAGGGTGGATACTGTTGGAGTAGTTCTAGAAGTAACAAGATTAGTGCTGTATTTTAACAGAAGGTGGCATCATGGGCCCCTTTGGACTTGAGTAACCCTGTGCTGCAGCCTTCATGGTCCCCTTGTTGGAGTGGGCGATGTCGCTATATATGTAAACTGCCACACTGGGGGGAAATCAGGGGCTGAGGCTTTAATGAATCTTTACAAAGGAGTGGAACGCATCCTGAGTCAACCTGTGCAGCTGTGGGGTGCTTGGGCAGAGGTACAAACCGAATGGCATGTCAAGAGAGGAAATGATTAGAACTATTGGCTCAGGTTCCTGAGAATAGATTGGATAAGGGAAGGTCCCAACTGGGCTACTCATTCAGGTGCTCCCTGGAGTGCTCTAGCTCTATGATTCACCTTGGGAAGGTGACTGGTTGTTAGCAAGACAGAGACACAGGAGCACTGTTTGTGGGAACTTGGTTGTCTCTAAACAGCCGGGAGAGGGCGCTGTTAGGCTCACTTTCAAAGTTGTGATCTGAGTGCCCGCCAGACACTGCTGTGCTTGCAGCCTTCAAAGGCAAAAGTGTTACAACTGAACCCTCCTGTTCTGACTTCCTGAGACAAACTCTCTGTAGACCCTAACATGCTTTGGGTAGAGGTGGCCTAGTTGAGGGTCCTGGCAGTGGTCTGAGAAAGGAAGCAAATCCTCCAGGGTTTTTAGTCTTGCACTGAGCTAACGTGGGGTCTCACTCTGTCATACAGGCTAGAGTGCAGTGGCATGATCATAACTCACTTCAGCCTCGAACTCCTGGGCTCAAGTGATCCTCCTGCCTCAGCCTCCCAAGTAGCTGGGACTACAGGCATGTGCCACTATACCTGGTTAATTTTATTTTTAGTAGAGTCAGGGTCTTGCTATGCTGTCGAACTCCTGGCCTCAAGTGATCCTTCCATCTTGGCCTCCCAAAGCGCTGGGATTGCAGGTGTGAGCTAGGATTTTTTTTTTTCTTTTGCTTCCTCTTAAGTTTTACTCAAGAACAAAAAAAGTTGCTGAATTTCCCCAGGGGATTCTATTAAAAACTGTCAGGGTTTTGCCCTGCTAAAGAGTGATAAGAATAGGGGCATACTAACCATAATTTTTGCCATGTCCTCTGTCCCTCACCAGATGTTTTCTTCCAATGGGCTTTTGGTGTAGGATGTCGGAGAACCAAGAACAGGAGGTAAGAATGTGGTCTTCAGGGAATGGGTGGGTAAAAGTTGGAGAGAGTATTTATGAGGTGGGAGGATGCAGAGATACAAATTATTGCTCAGTGGTGTTCTTCCTACAGTAATACCTTGAGTAATACTTAAAATAAAACCATGAGAAGGAAATCAATAGTAAAGGCATTCCTGGGAAATGAGGTTCCATTATGACTAGTGTTTTCATTGGTTGGAATATACTGGAATGTAAGCTTCACGAGGGCAAGGATTTTTGTCTCTTATTCATACTTAATCCCCAGTGCCTAGAACAGTGCCTGACACATAGTGTGGGCTCAATAAATATTTGTTGAGTTGAATGAATGGACAAATGATGAAAGTTGGTGCTGAGTGGAAAAATTGGGCAAACTGTATTGTCAAAGCTGCCTTGCTGTGTGTGTGGCCGAGCTGAAGATAAAGAAGCATTTCTTACCTACAGGAGGTGATCACGGTGCGTGTTCAGGACCCCCGAGTGCAGAATGAGGGCTCCTGGAATTCTTATGTGGATTATAAAATATTCCTCCATGTGAGTGCAACAAGCTTCTGTATTGGGGTCAACGCTCCCCAGGTCTGAGGGCTTGTGCTGAGGTGGAACTTGTTTGTGGGTGTTTCTAGTGGGCCCAAGACAGAAGACTTAGAAGAAAAGGAGGGAGGAGAGGAAAGAGAGCTTGCGGTATGCTCCTGAGTTGCTTTCAGGCTTGCTGTGCTTGGGGGCCCTGATCAGGACTGTGGCCTGGTTCATCAGTGAGAGTCTTGAGGGGGAGCTCACGTGAACTCGATCTTTTCCCACTAAACCCTTTTCATGTACTTCCTCCTGTAGACCAACAGCAAGGCCTTTACTGCCAAGACTTCCTGTGTTCGGCGTCGCTACCGTGAGTTCGTGTGGCTGAGAAAGCAGCTACAGAGGAATGCTGGTTTGGTGTGAGTTTGCTCTTGCTTCCTTCTCAGGTCTGAGACTGGCTTTTTAGGTGCTTACTTGAGAACTGGAGTTGACAATGAAGAGAACTTGCAATATGCCAGGCACTAAGGAAGCTGTGAAATAAATTCTTAAACCATGTTTTCAAATCAGTGAAAAAAAGTAAAGATAGAGTTCTCATTTCTGGTATTTAGACCTAACAAAACCATAAAAACATCAAAAATATTTTTCTTTTTTATATGCATATTGGTCTAGGGCTCAATAGATGTACTGCTAGCATTTTAAATAAGCTTATCATTGGTTATCAGAACATTTTAAGCATCTGGACTTATTTGACAGGTAGTGGTCCTGTCCACTCGACATGTAAAAATTGTGATTTTTTTTTTTTCTCTTTAGTACAGAGCTCCTTTTCCAGAGACATATGAGAGCCTTAGGAAAGGCAGTTATTATTCACTTCTCACCCATACCCTCCAACTAAGTCCTAAACGTAGAGAGAATTAGAACAGTGATTCTGCTATAGGGTGGTCACTGAATGCCCTAGTGGTGATAGGTGGCCTGTTGAGTGACTGAGCCAGTTAGTTAACCTGGGGGACTGATGAGGTTATTGTCACTTGAGCCCAGGAGTTCAAGGCTGTAGTGCACGATGATCACCCCTGTGAATAGCTACTGTACTCCAGCCTGGGCAACATAGTGTGACCCTGTCTCTTAAAATAAAATAATAAAAAAAATGGATGATTTGGCTGCAGCTCAACCACTTTTAGCAAATTCCAAGCAGGTGACCTGGGACTGGAGTAGATAGTCTTAATTTACACAGAAGGACCCAGCATTCTCCACATCTAAACTTCTTTTTTAAAATAATAGTTGATGGTGGGAGTGGGCTTTATAAACAACATAGTATATCTGCATGGGTTTTGGAGTCATAAACTTGGGGCTTACTAGCTGTGTGACAGTGGGAAATTTACTTAACCTCTGATCTAAAATGGGGATACTGATACCTTCCCACGGGGTTTTGGGAGGATTAAATGAAATAATGTTTGTAAAACATTTAGCACAGTGCCTGACACATGACATGCAATTAGTCAGTGTTAGCCTGCCCCTTATTTAAAGCTAATTATATTGATTGGGCCTCTTTTCAGGGGATTTTTTTGATTAGGGGCTGGAATGATTGTCTTGGATGTGACACATATTTTGAGTATTACATTATGTGACTCCACAGGCCTGTACCTGAACTTCCTGGAAAGTCAACCTTCTTTGGCAGTTCAGATGAGTTCATTGAGAAGCGACGACAAGGTTTGCAGCACTTCCTCGAAAAGTGAGTGGACGTGCCAGGCTAGCACTGTCTGGGGGTGAAGACAAGGGCAGGGGAAGGTGCCAGGCAGGATGGGGCTCCCTGCTCAGGTAGGCACATTAGTGGTACGTACCTTTCTTGCATCCTCATGCCTTCAGTGCTCCCTCAATCCAGAAGCCCTTCAAAGGATGGGGATGAAGAGCAAATCCTCAGGTTGGTGCTCTGTGTTGTGCTACCTGTGTTTGTCTCAGGGTCCTGCAGAGCGTGGTTCTCCTGTCAGACAGCCAGTTGCACCTCTTCTTGCAAAGCCAGCTCTCGGTGCCCGAGATAGAGGCCTGTGTCCAGGGCCGGAGCTCCATGAGTGTTTCTGATGCCATTCTTCACTATGCTATGTCAAACTGTGGCTGGGCCCAGGAAGAGAGGCAGAGCTCTTCTCATCTGGCTAAAGGAGACCAGCCTAAGAGGTAACTGAAGCACTCTTTGTGAGACACAGGGGCTAGGATTGCTGTAACCTGGGCCAGGGGGTCTCTATTTGTTAGGGAAAGTAATATCACAGCATTGGTAGCCTTTCAGAAAGGCCTTGTTCTCTGTCTGTATGGTTCTCAATTCTAGGTGGGTCTGTGTTATTCCACCACTGAGTAGCAGGGCTCCTGTTGAAACCTCGGGAGAAAGAAGAGGAAAGTTCTATTTGTCCTGTTCTTTATTCCTCCCCTCACCCACCCCCATTTAAAATAATAGCTTTATTGACATATAATTCACTTGACATAAAATTTACCTTTTTAGTGTACAGTTCAGTAGTTTTTAGTATATTTCCATTTAGTATATGCACAGAATTGTACAACTATCAGTCACCACAGTTAATCTTAGAACCTTGTCATCACCCCAAAAGAAACCCTGTATCCATGAATAGTGACTCCCCTTTCCCTCCTATCATCCCTGCCGCTCCCTTCCTCACCAAACCCCTGGCAACTACCAGTCTACTCTCTGTGTCTATGGATTTGCCTGTTCTGGACATTTCACACAACTGGAGTCATATTGTATGTGGTCTTTTGTAACTGGTTTCTTTCACTTAGCCTAACATTTTCAAGGTTCATCCATGTTGTAGCATGTATCAATACTTCATTTCTTTTTATGGCCAAACAATATTCCATTTGTATGGCTATATAACAACATTTTGTTTATCCATTCGCTAGTATTTGTTCATTTTTGTTTATCTGGTCATGCCCTTCTTTTCCCCTTCCCACTCTTTTCCAGTTGCTGCTTTCTTCCAAGATCCAGTAGGAGGAGCTCTCCCTCGCCACCACCCAGTGAAGAAAAGGACCATTTAGAAGTGTGGGCTCCAGTTGTTGACTCTGAGGTTCCTTCCTTGGAAAGTCCTACTCTCCCAACCCTCTCCTTACCATCATGCTATGATTTTGCAAGACCCGATGAGGGAAGCTCCACTCCTCCGTCTGTGAGGAGGGCCACAGGAGGGGACCATGCTGTGCCTTTGGACCCTGGTCAGTTAGAAACAGTTTTGGAGAAGTGAGCTCTGGTCTGAGCTCTGGGTTCTGCTCCAAGGCAGACAGAGAAGAAGCAGGCCAGGAGACTTACTCAGGTGGGACTGGGCACAGGACAGGTGTAGGGGGAGGCCGGGCTGTTTAGTGTCTTACAGTCGCCTCTGCTCACAGAGGCTGCACAGAGGTCGATCATGATAGCCCCTCGTGCCTCCTCCATAAGAATAAACACTGTGCAGATGTTTGTAAGTTAAGCATAATGCCCAGGGGCTGTTGATTTTGAACAGAAACCCATATTTACTCTCCTGGGAACTGAATTTCTTCATATGATTTTTTTATAGGCCCAGGAGCACCTCCTCAGGTGACTGGTTTTGGGGACCTGTAAGTGGCAGATTCTAAGCTGCTGTATTGAATATTGTCCCAACAGGAATGTTTATGTATTTGTATTCCCATTTTGCCTGGCTTCTGTTTTTACTGTACCCCCGAAGCACTTTGTTTCTGGGAGGCTGGCCTCTTGCCTACCTCCTTGCATGGACAGGGCAGTGAATATTTACTCTCCCACCTCCTTGCTTTTTCCTCCACTAATACCACTGAATGGAACTGGTGCTGTGACTTCTGCCACTGGGGTTTCTGGCCTGTCCCAAGACCTCAGCCTGGCTGAGTGGGGCCTGAGACCCATGTAACAGCTCATGGCCATCCATGAGAAAGGAGTGATTGGCCACAGCCCAAGGGAGAGGCAACAGCCTTTGTTTTGGAAAGGCTGTCCGGGCGGACACAGTCTCTTCTAGTTATAAAGCAGAGACATGGCTATCTTTTCTGCAGGCTTAGAGTGGGCTCCTTTCTTTTTTGAATCCTTTTCTTCTCTTTTAGTAACAGCTCCCTGCCCTCAAGGCTTCAGCCGCCAGTGTCCCTGGGCCGTGTTTCAGGGAGGCCGTATGTTCAGTCCAGTGAGGCTCAAGGGCTTTGTTTCTGCCTAGAAAAGAGGGCTCTGGGGATGGAGATGAGGAACAACATGCCCTCCTTCAGACAATGAGGCATTCTGCCCTCCTGCTGTCATTATTCCTCTCCACTGAGAGCCAGAGCTGGTAGGAGCTGAGTGCTGCGGGCATTCTGTATTACTCTGCTCTTAGGATTGTGTGTGTGGTTCTTCTCTCACCCACTCCACCCTCCTATGGCCATCCCACCCTGTCTGTGGGCTCTTTTACTACCAGCCTATGCTGTGGGACTGTCATGGCATTTAGTTCAGAGTTGAGGGGCTTTGGCCTGAAATAAAATGCAAGTATTTAAGACTGTTGTTGCAATTTGTGTCTAACAAGCTGTAGCAGAGAAGGAGGGAGTGAGGGCTGGCAGTACTTACTTTCATAAATCATGAATTTATCAGCATGGAAATAATGGTTCAGAACTGTGCACTGCGGCTCTCCTGCATTGTGTGTGCAGCTCAAGTTCACCACTGGAGGAAGGACTGTCTTCCAAAGAGCTGGGATCCAGCTCGTCTCACAGTTCTGGGCATGAACCTTGTTAGTATAATTTACCTGATGCTGCTTCCATCCTCGAAGCCTGTCTGAGGTGCCAGGTGCTGGAAGAGAAATAAAGTTTGTCAACGGGCAGATGCAAAGCCCTGGCTGGTATTCATCCCTCTTTCCTGCCCGCCTCCCTTGGGTCTCTCCTTTATATGATGCAGCAGAGCAAGGCGAGGAGAGAAAACCTACAGAGGCAATTCCAAAATGTCAAAAGAAGTTCATTTAAAAGGGGAAAAAAGTCCATACACAACCCTCACAAAACCCGACAGATGCTAAGCTAATGGCATCCGCTCTGCCGATTGGTGGGGATGGCTCATGAATATTAATGAGTCCAATGCTCCAAATGGTGCAGCTGTGAACCCAGCTGTGCCTGAAGCTCTCTGATCTCAAAACTTCCAGACAGAGCCGGAGGTGGTCTGTGTCAATTCCCTACTCAGCCAGAAAACAGCAAGCTGGGTTGGCCTTCTTCTGTTTGCTCCTTCTCTTCCTGGAGTTGGTGCTCAGCAGCTAGTTCTGCCAGCAGGCTAGGCTGCTGGGACAGCAGGAGCCATTCAAAGACACGGATGTGATTTTTCTGACTCCCAGCTTTCTTAATGATCCATTAACAGCAGTGCATACAACAGCACCTCAGTTAATCTAAGGCCAGGCACCATCTCCTATCAGTCTCGCACTGAGTTGAGTATAAGCTGTGGAAGGAGATGTCTTAAGAAAGGAAGAGCTTTCCTCATAATATGGACCTTGGGTTACCAGAAAAACAGCAAAGATGGGTTTTCCTCTCCATCCAGGCAGTGCCACATGCCCCTCTTATGTTTTGCTCTGTCCCTGTGTGTGTTCAGGTTTAGCCATCATGGCTGGATGACCTCAGTATGAAAGATGAGAAACTAGCTGTGGGGAGTAGCCCACTGATGTTTTGTAGAATGAAAGTGTTTTGTTTAGAATTTAGGTTTGAGTCAGGTTCTGTGCCTGATTTAGTCACCTTTCTTCTGATGCCTACTTCCATGGCCCAAGTCTAGTCATCTCCTATTACCCAGGATAACGGATCCCAAGCTCCTGGGGGTTTTATCTGGTGAAAGGAAATGTGTATGTTTGGAGGGTTAATATAAAAATAGTTTCATATGCATCATTTTAATTGAATCAGTGCCCAGTGAGGAACGTAGGGCAGGTATTACACTCATTTTCTAGCTGAGGGAACTGAGCTGAGCGTGGCTTTTGAAAAAGCATGTTTTTAGATGGCAGTAGAATATGTTCCTGTAAGACATGCTTTCCAAGCACTGTAAGACAAGTTTGTTTTTTTTTTCCTCAGAAACTTTTTAAAAATTAAACTTACCACTACACTCAAGGAAAAAAAAATCCCCCTGCAGGGCTTTTCGGAGTTGTTCTCGGAAATCAAAGCTCATTCACAGTCTTTAGTTTTCTGACTACTAAGGCCTTAGATCCACACCACTGAGTCCTAGGCACCTTCTACCCTCTCTAGTAGCTTTGCTTGAGGTCATTATGACTTCGTAACAATTTGGGCATTAAGTTAGCTTCCTATTTGTGAATTTGTTTGTATACCTCAGCTCTTGCTGAATTTTCTTAACACTCCAGGGGTGGGGTGGACAGTAGGCCCAAAGGATGCAAGGATGGGTTGAGGGTAGAAATGGGAATGGACCAGCTTCCAGTCTGCCTCACAGGCTGCAGGAGGATTAAATCAGAGACCAGAGTGGCATCTGTGGATTTATGTACAAGCAGCCAGCTGAGACACAGCTGAAGCCAAGCAGATAACCACTATAGCGCAAGGTAGCACCTCCTTAGTCAAGCACTGGGCTGTGATCCTTAAGCCAGAGAGGGGGGACTTTCTGCCAGCAGGCAGTCAGTTCTGTAGAAGGCGCATAGCCTGGCTCAGAGTAACCTCTCTTTGAACTGTGGCTGAGTGTCCCCCTTTCCATTTTTACCCACTATGCCTTCTTTCCTGAAGGTTTTCTCAACCCACTTTTGAAGCCTTCATCCATTCTTCTCACTCATCTACTTTCTGCCCCAGCTCTTCTCTCTGAAACGCTGTTTTGGGGACCTCTACAAAGACGAAGTGTGCATTTGGCTTACAACAGAGTGGTAGAAGCAGTCATAGCATCTTCTTAGAGAAATTCTTGTGGGGAAAAACATTTCCACTTTAGCCATGACTGGATTTGCAGCTGGAGACCTCAAATCTCAAGATATAATAAACACAGACAAGTTATGCTCAAAAGGTTAACAAGAGCCACACTTTTTAGGAAACAGTACTCCTGACTCAGTAAACAGAGTGAATAATTTTATTTCCTTTTGGTTCAGGGGAGATCTAGTCTACTACAAGCAAAGGAGGAGGAAAAAGAAAGGCAAAGGTACTTTCATGGTTGTGAAAGGGCACAGAAAATAAACAGAGAGAGGTGGTGAAGCCAAAGTGTGAGAGTTAAGAGACTACTTTAAGGTTTTTAAGGTCTTTAAGGGTTTTTCCACTGGAAGGACAGGAGCACAAGATGCTTTTGCAATCTCTGAATTATGGAAAGCCACTGGCCAAATTTCTTTTTCACGCATGGCTGTCAAGTCCCTCCTTCCTGTCCTTCAGCCAAGCACTGTTTCTTTCATGGCATCAGTTAAGAAGGGGTCAGCTTGTTCAGATCCTTCCATAAGTGCTCTAGCCCTGTGTGTGTCCCTTCGCCTGGTGGCTGTGCTGGTGTGGGAAGCCAGGCCCACCAGCAGCCAGACCCGGTCCTTCCTTCCGGCAGAAGGCCCAGAGTAGTGAGAGCCCGAGGCAGTTTGTTGGAGGCAACGCAACCTGCCTGCTATAAGCTATGAGACTTAGATATATTCTACCAATTAGGGCACATCTGTTCAAAACGCTGAAAGGCGGGCACTGTCTCTTTAAGAGCCATCCCACTCCTCTCCTTGAGTGATGAGGGCTGGGAGCACAAGGGAGTCAGATGCTGATTAAACAGTCCTACTGCCGAGCTCTGTTCGAAAATTACTGTAATTATGATCTAGTCCCAGCAGAGGGATGAGTTCCAATCCTGCTAATAACCCTTCCAGGTGCCTCAGATTCAGGACCCAGGGGAGGCAGCGTCACAGGGCCCTGGCTGGCACCAGGGCCAGCGATGGCCCTTCTGTCTGGCCTATGCTGGCAAAGATAACAATGGCACCAGACCCCTCATCCTATCTTGGCCACTTGAGAAGGCAGTGGGTTTTGATTGTGTTTGTGTTTGTGTTTTTGTTTTATTTATTTATTTTTTGGTTCCTGACAGAGCTCCTGGGAGTCATTTTGTATGCAAAAACTTCCCCTAAACTAACATGAAGGACCAGGGAAAGCACAGCCCTGAGATGGCAATCTGTCCTGAATCTCCCTGCTTCTGCCTGGGGACTGCAGTCAACACACCCGAAGTGTGGCGCGGGGCCCCAGCCCCACCCAGCGCAATGCGGAGGGAACCGGAGCAGCTTCCCTTCAGCTGCAGCTGTTGTCTGCGTTGTTTCTAGCACCCTATGTTTCTTGCTCTGAAGTAGTACACAGGATTTCACTTGGTTGCAGCACTCCCCTTTTAGATTTCTGCCGCAGAAAAGGGAAACAAGGGATAGTGATCACAGAGCTTGAGACATGAGAGACTTGCTGTAATGCAGCTCTCTGAACCGGCTCGGATGGTCTTACCCATTCAAACAACATTTTCCTAGTGCAAATCTGCAGCAGCACAGCTGAACAGATCTCAGAGGTGGCGTGTAGGGGCTGGCCTGCTGGTCTGTAAACCCTGAGAGAGTCATGGCATTGAAATGCTGTATCTTCTCCACTCAGCTGTGATCTCTATCACTATATTCCAGTGGCTAAAGCACAAACTTCTAGAAGGCAGGGCAGTTTCTCTGTGCTTTGCCCTAAGCATATCCCAAATGCTCTGAGACAGTGATTCTCAGCCAGGGAAGATTTTGTCCCCAGGGGCTATTTGGCAATACCTAGAAACATTTTTCATTGTCAAGAACTTGGGGGGCTGGGGGGAGTACTATTGGCATTTAGTGGGAAGAGGCCAGGGATGCTGCTAAGCATCCTAAATGCGCCCAACAACATACAATTATCGGGCCCAAAATGTCAATAATGCTGAGATTGAGAAACCCTGCGTTAACAGAATGAAGTAATCAGCTCCAAGTTCTGTCCCCTTAAACTTGGAGATGTTGAAGAAATAATCGGGAATTTCTAGACGCCAGGCGTTTCCCCAGAGGTGGAATATGTTAGTGACAGGCCCACGGCAGTGGTGGTGTGCCACTCTGGCGAGTCACAGCAGAGCAAAGCTGGTGAGTCTGACGGTGTGGCAAAGGGAAGTGTCTGCAGACTGTTTTCTCTTCCATGATCGGATGTGCAGTATAGAAGGTGTCCAGCTGCTCTCCATCAGGTTGAGAGCGTCTGCAGTGGAACCAGATGCCCTCTTTGAGGACCAGCACTAGAAGCCTCTTGGAGCTCACTCCTGTCACAGGAGGCAAGGAAGTGGCATACTATTGCCCATACAAAAATGCTTCTTTCAGTGGCACTCTGCCAGGTGGAGGGGTGGCGGACTGTGATGGGACCCCATGAGGGAACTGAACACATACAGCTGCTGACAGCCAGCCAGCCCCACAGGCGGCTCGATGCCAGAGACACCAGAACAGCCTGGGCATCAGGAAAAGGAAGCGTAGTTGGCAGGGTTTGCCTAGAAACCAGGCCTGCAGGGGAGAGGACTTCATTACAGGGGACATTGCCAAGCCCCATACCAGGAAAGCCAGGTCGTCTCTATCTACCGCCCACTCCCCAGGTGACTGGGCAACCGTTTTGCCTTATTTTTAGCATGACCACACTTCCCAGCTTATACCTGCAGTCTCAGCATCATTATTAATAACTCCCCCCTTAACTCTCAAAGTGTCTCGGTTTGGAGAATAAATTATGTGGTCACTCTGTTGTACCTCAGTTTCCTTTAATACGGGAGTATTTTTTGCCGTTTTATATATATATATATATATATTTTTTTTTTTTTTGAGACAGAGTCTCACTGTGTTGCCCGGGCTAGAGTGCCGTGGCGTCAGCCTAGCTCACAGCAACCTCAAACTCCTGGGCTCAAGGGATCCTCCTGCCTCAGCCTCCCGAGTAGCTGGGACTACAGGCATGCGCCACCATGCCCAGCTAATTTTTTTCTATATATTTTTAGTTGTCCGATTAATTTCTTTCTATTTTTAGTAGAGACGGGATCTCGCTCTTGCTCAGGCTGGTTTCGAACTCCTGAGCTCAAACAATCCGCCCGCCTCGGCCTCCCAGTTGCCGTTACATTTATAAAATATTTTTGTACAAAATGGACTACATTTTAAAATGTATCATTAATTGAATCCCAAAGACTGGCTGTCAATTCACACTGAGGAGAGAAACAGCATGTTTTCTAACAGTTTTTGATAGGGAAATAGGGAGAATAATTCAAATCTTTTGAAAAAGAAAAATCTCTTTTTAGTTGTAAATTTCAGACGCTCTACCCAATCTTGGTAAATTCTAATGGGAAATAAAATAGCTGGGCAGGAGGGAAGGGGGAAGAGCAAGGGACTATGGTAATCCACAAACTAGAAAATGAGTTTGAGTCACTGGGCTGTGTAGCAGGGATAATCCTCTGTGTGCTTTTTCTAAAGTCAGCCCGGCATATTTTGCTGGTGCTCTGGGGATTAACAAATCAGCGCCACTCAAGATTTATCCTTTCAGAGCTGCTCCTGGTGGGAGACCTGTGGGGAGGTTTTTTATTTTTCGAGCCAGAGATGAAAGCATCGCTGTCCCTGACATCTCAGAGTTTTGTTCTTAAGATGCAAAAAAAGAACATACTTTTTTTTTTTTCTTCTTGCTTCTCTTCAACTCCATCTTTCTCAGGCTGGTTTTTAAAGGCAGGGTCTCCCCCCACCCCCACCATGCATTATCTTGCTCTTTGCATTGACACCCGCCTTATTGTGATGCCGGGACTGGCACTGCTGTGAAATGTGGATTTTGAAGACATCTCACTGGAGATGTCTAACTACAATAGAACTCAAGTAAGTCAGTAAGCAAAGCAGCTGACTGAGAATTTCAAGGGGCTTTTGTTTCATTTCTTCTTCCGTGGCAGATTTTGTGTGATTTTGTTTTTTTTTTTTTGAGATAGAGTCTCACTCTTTTGCCCGGGCTAGAGTGAGTGCTGTGGCGTCAGCCTAGCTCACAGTAACCTCAAACTCCTGGGCTCAAGCGATCCTTCTGCCTCAGCCTCCCGAGTAGCTGGGACTACAGGCATGTGCCACCATGCCCGGCTAATTTCTCTATATATTTTTAGTTGTCCAATTAATTTCTTTCTATTTTTAGTAGAGACGGGGTCTCGCTCTTGCTCAGGCTGGTTTCGAACTCCTGAGCTCAAACAATCCGCCCGCCTCGGCCTCCCAGAGAGCTAGGATTACAGGCATGAGCCACCGCGCCCGGCCTAGATTTTGTGTGATTTTGGCCAACTAGTCACAACCTTTCAGATCCTTGGGTTCATCACTTAAAAAAAGACTAACTGGTTGTAAACAAGGAGGTGCAACTAGGGAAGCTAAATTGCTAAAAAAAGAAAGAAGTTAACGGTAACTTGAGATTGAGTCTACTCCTTACGTATTATGTTTAGATAAAGTATCTGTCTCAAACAGGAGGAGGGGTACCTTGTTGGCCCCACCTTTGGTGCTGCTCACATTGAAAACGAAAATAACCTGGTTTTAGGGAATGAGACTTCAGAGGAATTCTCTTCTCTTTCCCATTTTTATTCACTCCCTACCCTATTTTTTAATTAAATGTAGATTTCTAAGAGATATAATATTAACAGGCTGTTGTACGGGAAAATTTAATATTGAGGTAACGGCAAAACGATGTCTATGCTATTTTGCTATATGGATGACAGAAAAACACTAGAAAAAATGTATTTTTAATGAAATGTAGCTGAAAGATTGCTTTCCGAGCATTTAATGTTTTAGATATCAGCTTGGACAATGCAGGTCAGACTGCGCCAGCCCTAGGTTAGATTATCCACTGGATGTCAGTAAGTTCCTTGTAAATGATTATTTATCTATAAAAGGCAGATATGCATCTGCTTCTAAATTTAGGATCTTAGCTTTTTAATTTTCCCTTCTTTACATAAAATCAAGGAAGGAAAAAACCTTCCATCTCTAGTCCTCTCCTGTTTGACTTGCCAGAACAATTGGTGGTGACCATTCTACACATAATGTAGTTAGTTAGGTGCCCCAGTTATCCAGTTAGAGGCAGGCAGTGAGGTGGGGATTTGGTTAGTGGAGTCAAACCAAGAAGGGTAATCTGATTAGTCAGTTGCCGTCTGAGGCTGTTGGTGAAGACAGAGCCTGCTGTGTTGAGTGGGGATGAGGTTTAATTACCAACAGACTATAGGAATCTGCTGCTTCCGAAAGGTCTCCTTTAGAACTATTCCCTAACGGAGAATGCCCTTCAGCCTCTAGACAGTCTCCTCATCAACCCATTGAATGAACTCTACCTTTTTTTGCATATAACAATGCCAGAGATAGCCAGAACAGCTACAAAACAGATTTCCAATCAGTCTATTTGTTTATATCTTTTAGGGCCAATCTAATTTCTTTTCCCATGAAGTTTTATAGCTAGAAGGGTCAAGTGTGGGGTCTACCCTATGGTGCACAGAGATGCCAAAAGACCTCTGCAGTTTGGGAAATAGTTGTTTCCTCTGGCCTATGGGTAGAGAAAGGACCATTTTGTTTTAAATGCTGGAAGCCAATGGCTGTGCTATTTACAGAGCACTGAACCGTGTATAGGGTGTAAAAAAGTTACCTTGACTTTGGTTCCTTTTTCAACCCCTTCTCATCCTGTCCCAGATACCTGCTCTTCTTCTTCTGGTATCCCCTTTTCTGGTGTCTTGATTACAGAGCAGTGGCACAATGGTATTCCTGCCTCTTAGCCACCCAGCCTTCTAGACTTGGGTCCCTCTTTTAAACACTCTAGAACCATGCCCATTGTTCTTACCTGTGGGCTAGGATTGGTGCCAAGGTTCCTAAAACGGGAGGCAATTGGTTCTCTTTGGTTCACTTGCTCATATACTGCCACCTAGTGGTTCCTTCTTCTTTAGCACCCTGTGTAAAGTGGAGGGGACATTATGGACACTTCTATATTGCCTTTTATCTCACTTGTGTTTTTTCCTCCTAAATCTAAATTGTCCCTTTTTTCATTTTTTTGAGAAACTTGGAATCCACTGAAACCCTGTTTGCACTCTGTTTTCTCTCCTGTGGTGATGTGAGATGAGTATCTGACACCAGGGCTACAGAGGGCTATGGTCATTGCAAAGGAGAGGAAGGCTACTGCCAATCCAGTAGCCTGAACAGGCATTTCTATAGCTGCTCAGTTGCCTATCTTTGAACATTTCTCATGTAGAGAGTTAAGCAATAATAACCGCTAACCTTTATTGAGCAGTCACTATATGCCAGGCATTGTTCCAAGTATGTTACACTTGTTAAATCCTTTAATCTTCCTAATTACCTAATGAGATAGCTGTCTGCTTACAGATGTTTTTATATATATATGTAATATATATATTATATATATACCTTAAAGAGCTAACAGCAGATGCTATGTTCCCAATCGTTATGTTTAGCTGTCTCTTCATTGCACAGGTAGCTTGAGTGCGGGGTATAACAGGAAAGGGAAACAAGGAGCCTTGAATCCATACTCCTTCAAGCACTTCCTCAGCAACTTCCTGGGACTTGTAGTGCAGGACACAGACGCGTTGTTAACTGACTTGAGGCCTGAAGAGGAACTTTCTGATGTGCTGACTCCAAGGCCTTGCTTCTGGCTCTGTCTCTTTTCAGAGAAATTCAACACATAAGAAAAAATAACCAACTAGCCAACAAAAGGAAGACTGAGAAGCCAACCAGAAAGCAGCAGACTTGGGTTCCAGAGATGATTCTGACCTGAAAGACAATTACAATTCTCCTTCTTTGTCTGGGCTTTTATTTTCTCTGGTTGTGCCTTCCCACTTTGGTTGGAGATGGTGAGAATGCCCAGAGCTGGCATTTTGATACCATTACAAAAAGGAATTCAACACCATCACACATGGCAGGGAACCAAATCTGAAGTTTATTTGTGCTTTTCAAACCAGCTAGAACAACAAGCAACTTCCTCTTTCTCTCTCACCCTCTTTGTGATGAGCCCGTGGAAAAGGCAGATGTGGATGTGTGGACGTGTTTGGAGTTGGGGATGAGCTATGACTAGGCAGGTTTAGTAATGGGTTTGATGAATGCGCCTCTTCCCACCTATCTTATTGGTGGTTCACAGTCACTACTTCAGTCTCTTCAGTAGAGTCCATTGCGTTGGTGGTTGGTGGGGTGGCAGGAGTAGGGAGTGGGGTCTCTTGATAATCAGTTTCTTCATAAAGGCAGGATAGAAGAGTATGTTTCCTAAAGGAGGAAAAATAAATAAATTTGCTTTTATTTTACTTTGTTTTATTTATTTATTTTGAGACAGGGTCTCGCTCTGTTGCCCAGGCTAGAGTGCAGTGGTGTCATCATAGCTCACTTACTGCAGCCTCCAACTCCTGGGCCCAAGCAATCCTCCTGTCTCAGCCTCCAGAGTAGCTGGGACTACAGCTGTGCACCACCATGCCTGGCTAATTTTTTTTTCTATTTTTTGTAAAGATGGGGTCTTGCTATTGCCCAGGCTGGTCTGGAACTCCTGGGCTCAAGCAATCCTCCTGCCTTGGCTTCCCAAAGTGCTAGGATTACAAGCTTGAGTCACTGCGCCTGGCCATAAATTTGCTTTTATGATTGAAAATACAGAAGTATAAAAGGGCATAGAGTGAAAAGTCTTCCCTCCTATCCTGTCTCAGAGTCTTGCAGTTTCTCTGTCCTTGGAGGCAACCATGTTATCATTTGGTGTCTCTTTCCAGAAATACCTCATACGTATATAAGCAAATGGGTATCTGTAGCCTCTATTCCCTTTTTATACAAATGGGGCAAACTTGGCCTACCCTTCTTTGCTACATTTTTTTTTTTTTTTTGAGACAGAGTCTCACTCTGTTGCCCTGGCTAGAGTGCCGTGGCGTCAGCCTAGCTCACAGCAACCTCAAACTCCTGGGCTCAAGCGATCCTCCTGCCTCAGCCTCCCGAGTAGCTGGGACTACAGGTGTGCACCACCACACCCAGCCAATTTTTTCTATTTTTAGTAGAGATGGAGTCTGGCTCTTGCTGAGGCTGGTCTCGAACTCCTGAGCTCAAGCGATCCTCCCGCTTGAGCCTCCCAGAGTGCTAGTATTACAGGCATGAGCCACCACGCCTGGCCTTTGACTAGTTCTTTATTGAACATTTAGGTTATTTCCAATCGTTTGCTATGACAAATGAACCTTGTGTGCATATCATTTTACATGTGTGCAAGTGTACCTGCAGGATAAGTTCCTAGAAGTGGAATTGTTGGATCAAAGAGAACGAGGAGATAACTTTAAATAAGTGACAAAGTGAAATAGGGTGAATTTGTTTAGATTTCACAGAAAAATTCCAATCCTTCTGCATTTATGGCCAGGAAACAGAGTCCTCACTGGCAAAATCATAAAGTCAAACCTTGAGTGACTGGCCCGAGCTGGAGCTTCACGGTTGTACAAGGGCATCGGAGAGTACGCTCTATCATTATGTATTTTTCTAAATAAATTCACTTAGCTGCTGCTGCACAACAGAGTGAGTCCTGGCCGGGAAGACTTCGAGAACAGTTTGTATCACTGTCACACTGATGCAATCCTTCACCCCCAGCAATAAAAGCTGCTCCCATTTCAGGCCAGAAGATGGAGCTGGTCTTGGGAGCCCTCCACCACCATCCCAATTCTAAACAAAATCCACTCTGCACCCAAGTGGCTCCCACTGATATGCCACCCAAATTAAGCACTCACTCCACTGTTTTAAAACACAATGTGGTTCTTGTTCATAAAATGCAAATAATATAAATATATACATTTAAGAGACAGGGTCTTGCTTTGTTGTCCAGGCTGGAATGTAGTAGTGCAATCATAGCTTACTGCAACCTAAACTCCTAGGCTAAAGCGATCCTCCTGCCTCAGCCTGCCAAGTAGCTGAGACTACAGGTGCATGCCACCATGTCTGGCTATTTTTTTAAATTTATTTTTTGTAGAGACAGGGTCTTGCTATGTTGTCTAGACTGGTCTTAAACTCCTGGCCTCAAGTGATCCTCCAGCCTTGGCTTCTCAAAGTGCTGGGGTTAAAGGCATGAGCCACTGTGCTTTGCCAAATCATATTCTTTTTTTTTTTTTTGAGACAGGGCGTTGCCTGGACTAGAGTGCAGTGGCATCATCATCATAGCTCACTGCAACCTCCAACTCCTGGGCTCAAGTGATCCTCCTGCCTCAGCCTCCCAAGTAAGCTGGGACTATAGGTGTGTGACAGCACCAAACTATATTCTTTATTACTTCAAAGTTAATTTGATTATGTTCTACAGGAATCCTCATACTGGATTCCTAATCTTTGTCAGTCATATTGCAGCATGTGGGCATTTTGGGGAAATGGTGTCCTGGATTTGAGAGCTATGGATAAACCCAGATCTACCCTTGTGGCAAAAATTTCTAGTTATCTCCCAATATCCATTCTCCCATTTTTATTTAATAATGAACCTTTCATTTTTAAGGTGGACACAGGGCTATCAGCTTTCTTTGCAGCTTGTATCTGGCCAATGGAATGTAAGCAGAAGTGTGTGTGCAACATCTGTGAAGTGTCCTTAAATGGAGAGGGTATGCCCTTCTCCTTTCATTTTTAGCTTTCCTGCTGAGTAGGATGCAGACAGGACAGCTAGAGCTGGAGCATCTATCTTGGCCATGAGGTCACCTTGGGAATGTTGGCCACACACAGAGGAGCAAAAAGAGAAGACACTTGTGATCTGGATACGTTGGGCCACTTGCCTCCAGATTTTTATGGAAGAGAAAAATAAATTTCTGTGTTAAAGTTAAGTCATTGTCATGTTGGATTTTCTGTCACTATTAGTTGAACCTAATCCTAAATGACACAGTCCCCAAATTTAAGAAAAACCAATTCCAGACTTATTTTCTTTCAATGGTGACTCATTAGCATTACTTTGGGAAGTGAAGAAAAGCCACTTCACTGGCAGCTCTCGTCTTTCAAAAAGAAACTGAAATCATGGCCTACAAATTCTGCCCAACTAATGGGCAGTTCATTGACAATGGTTCTGATACCTGGGCTTCATTTTTCTTCCACTTCGAAGGCACTGGTGAGATACTCCTTTGGAACAATCCCAATGAGGCTGTTCAGTTCTCCTACCCACCAGCCATACATGTTATACTCCTGAAAAATGAAAAGTAGACAGTTCAAGTTGAAATTTGGTCATGCTTCTGTTTATGTTACAGTGAGCTGATGGGAGAGTCTGTTGGGTGCCTTCTTCGTTGGTGTCATCAGAATGAGCTGTTAACATTCCTGATGAGATTAGTAAATTTTAAAAAGTAATCCAGAGGAAGGAAGCATTTTAAAAGAAATGTTTTCATTTTGCCACATTCCTGTCTACATGTAAACTTAGCACATTTGATGCCAGTGTTGAACCTAAAGAGCAATTTTTTTTTTTTTTTTTTTTTTTTACCAAGCAGAATGGTATGGCTTCTTCAGAGGAAGTTGGGCACACTAAAATGCCAGAACTCTAAAGATATTCAGAGAGTCAGGTCATAGTTCAAATCAATAATATTTATCAAGCATCTTCTATGTGCAAAGTGCTATTTGAGTTCCCATGAGGTATATAATGATGAATCAGAAGATTGCTTGCTCCTTGGGAGCTTACAGCATAGAGTAATGGGCTCTGGAGTCAGACAGACTGGGATCTAATCCCCGTTTGGGGATTAGTAGCCATGTGAGTTTAGGTCCTAGCTTTAACTTCCTCATCTATAAGAGCAGGGGTAATGTCTCCCCTCCTCTCTATGCTGTTGGAATGTAAGTGACACTACTGAAGTGAAAACAACTGAAAGTGTCTGATACATAGCAGGTGCTCTAAACATTAGCTTCCTTCCCTGGAAGAGGTGGGAGATTGACCAGTACATCAATAATGATAGGCAGGAATAAGTGCCACAGAAAGGGACAAAAAAGAAAGAGGATGAGGATTAAAGAGGGTTTAAGTCAGTGGTTCCCAACCCTTTTGGTATTAGGGACCAGTTTCATAGAGGACAATTTTTCCATGGACTGGGGAGGGGGATGATTTAAGCACATTGCATTTATTGTGCAGTCAACTCTTTCTGCTAATGATAATCTATACTTGTAGCCACTCCCCAGCGCTAGCATCACTGCCTCAGCTCCACCTCAGATCATCAGGCATTGGATTCTCATAAAGAGCATGCAACCTAGATCCCTCAGACGTGCAGTTTACAGTAGGGCTCCTGCTCCTATGAGAATCTAATGCCACCGCTAATCTGACAAGAGGTGGAGCTCAGGCAGTGATGGGGAGCGGCTGTAAATACAGGTGAAGCTTTGCTTTGCTCGCTCAGCTCAGCTCACTCACCATGGACTGGTACCAAGTTAGCGCCCTGTGTGGTGGGAGGGGGGTTGAGGACCACAGGTTTAAGGGGTGGTCACAGGGGTGAGGATAATGCTCCTTGAATACAGAAGAGCTTTTCAAAAGCACACCAGATGTTGAACATTATGGGACTATTTCTGGAAGCACCAGAAAAAAATGTTTTCTTTCTTTTGAAGGAAGTAAAATTAGGATGAAACTGTAAGAATGGGAAATATCACACATTCCAGTTTAACTGGATTTGGGGTTTCACAGAGCTAACTATCTGCTTTTTTTTTTTTTTTTTTTGCATACCTGGCTGCTGAATTCTACTAGGAAAAAAAGAAAGGAAAGAAAACTAAGCTGGTGACATGTAAAATTCAGGGTCCCTAGCATTAACTGGTGATCTTTTTGTCTCTACATAGTGATATCTGCCTTCGTCCAACTCTGCTGCTTTCCTGCCCTCTCAGCGAACAATATTTTCTCCACCTTTAAAGAGAAAAAAGAAGCCATCACATTTGTCAACCTTTGCCACCAAAGCAGGAACTTACCTGTACTGACAACCATCTTTCTTCCCCATTAAAGTGGGGGAGGCAGCCCTCCTCTGGTTTAAGACTCTCACAGTGTGCACTTGTAACCCCTCCTCTTTCTTTCTTTTTTAAAAAATTTTTTAAACTTTTTTTTTTTTTTGCCACAAGAAGATTTAGAAGAGACCCTTTCTTTCTTAGAGACAAGATTCTGTGGGGACCGACCTCTGCCTCTAATGGAAATGGTTTCTTCCATCAGCACTGAAAGGTGTTCAAGTTTCTTTTATCTTTGAAAACAACTATTAAATCATCCCCACTGCATGTCTACTTTCCATTTCTACTAGTCTATGCAAACTTACACTTCACACACTTATCAGAAGAGTTTACTCACTCATTGCCCCAACTTCTTCCTTCCTATTTGCTCTTCATGCCACTCTAATTGGGCTCTGCTACCATCACTCTACTTACACTCTCTCTGTGGTCTCCTATAACCTCCTCGTTGCTCAAATTCTCTGGTTACTTCTCAGTCTTTAACTTACTTGATCTCTCAGCAGTGCTGGCCATTACTGATCCTTGTTGAAGCATTTTCGTCTCTTATTTTCTGTGATAATCATACTCTCCTGGTTTCCCTCCTATCTCTCTGGTTGCTTCTTCTCTCATTCTCCTTTGCAGGCTCATCTCGCTCTATTCTGCCTTCTAATGTGGTTGTTTTCCAGGGTTCTGTCATAGCCCTCTCGTCTTCTGAGACTTCATGCACTTTCCTTGAGCAATCCCATATACCTCTGTAGTTTAACCACCATGTCTGTGTTAATGACTCATGATGAGAGCTCCAGCCTACATCTAAGTGTTGGACCCCAGTAGCCAAATGCATGTCCACTAAGCTGCTCAAACTCATTATTTCCTAAATTTAACCTATAATCCTGCCTCTACCCCCATCCCCACTCCCAAACTATCTTTCTTTACCCTCTATGCTCTCTTTCTCAGTGAGTGGTACCACAATGCACTCAGTTATCCAACCCAGCAATCGTTCCCAATTTCTCCTTCCTCTTCACTCAGTCCTGGAGCCCTGCCAATTCTCTCTCCAGAATGTTACTGGAATCCACCCTCTTCTCTTCATTCTCTTCACCAATACCCTAGAGTCATGTAACTGTCATCTCCCATGAGGACTATAGAAACAATCTCCAAATTCATCTCTGTATCTGCTTTCTTGTTCTCCTCCAATCTATTCGTTCTGCAGCCAGAATCTTTCCACAATGCACGTCGATAATGTCTCTGCTGTGTTTGAAAACTTTCAGTGGGTTCCCACCGCCTCTTGTCAACTTCTTAACAAGGTGGACAAAGGCCCTGCATGACCCACTCGTGCTTACTGCCCAGCATTATCATTCACCCCCTAGATCTAGTGTCCCTTAGTAAAACAACTTGTCTCAGCTACTCCCATGTGCTATAGTCTCTTACCTTGGAGCCTTTCCTCTGTTTAGCCTCTACTTCCTCCTCCATTTCATGGGGCACACTCCTAAGTAACTTTCAGATTTCAATTCCTGAGTCACTTATTCTCTTAGAAGCCTCTCCTTGCCACTCTGACTGTGCGGGGGTCCCGGCTACATGGCCCAGTGCTTCCCCGGAAAAGAGCTCATCACTGCCTCATATCTGCCTGTCTTTGTCTCAGCGTCAGTCACGAGATGGAAAATTCTGAGGGCTGGACTTTGTTGGTTTTGTTTGCTGTTGTAGTCTCAGTATTCAATACTAGACCCAGCATAGAATGTGGCCAAATAAATACTTGTTAAATGAGGTTCTGTTGAAATGAAGGAGGCAGTGGGAATTTGTACTCTCAGTTGAGCAGAGTTAGTTACAACTAATTCCAAGATATTCCCCTGGTGATTGCACTGGTTATGGCAGAAAGAGATCAACTGCCTTTGGAGATAGACTCCCCAGATGGCTCCCTAAGTACCGAGAAGAGTGTCAAACACCACAAGAATAAAGACTGACCCTTTTAGGACCGGGTAATTGCCTTTTTAAAAATCTGTCTTAAATGACTGAATGTGTCCATCCACCACCTCTTCCTACCACGCACCTTCCCGTTCCCTCCCTCTCCCAGTCCAGCTTCTACCTACAGTTTGCACTGACTTACGGGAAATTACCCAGAATCCCTCAGCTTATGCCTGTCAGAACGTTTTTAAGCTCCTCTTGGTACAAGTTATGTTACTGTCCATTTTTCAAAACTGAACTTAGGGCAGTTCCTGCCTTAAGTTTTCTTGTAGTGTTGCCTTGTGTTTATGGAGTTGCTGGAATGTCCATATCTACAGGGCCTGCTGTGAAGGGGAAATATATACTCCATCTTTCTCTCTTACTGTAGCTCATAAAAACTAGCTTTAGCTCTTCTGCTGTTTCACAGGCACAGGATGGGCACAATGTTGTCTGACAGTTTTTTGATCTAAGTCAACTTGCTTAAACACATGTGAAATGTGGTCTACCTGCCAGATGCTGTCATCTTCCATCACCTGCAGGGGATAGGATAAGGCATTTGCTCCCTGGGGACTGCTCAAGACCCTTGACTTTGACTCACGCTTTGCAGCACCCCCTTTTAGCCGTAACGCCAGGAGTAGGGACCAAGCCTTGGGAAGGTGCTCTCTGCCAACTCGAAGAGGGTGCAAACAGGAAGCAGATGAGGCACAGCAGGGCACCTGCAAAGGCTAGGCTCCCAGTCTGTTTGCTCTTGCTGGAGGGGAGCACTGACCCTGCCGACTGCAGATGTAGTAGCTTTACCACAGTGGTGAGAACTGAAATGAGTGAAATCAACTCTCTGCCCTTCAAAACAAAAGAGCAGGCAGAAGTGTAAGGAGGATGGCACAGTCTCAGAGACCATATGTCTCCTGCTGTGGGTGCCTGGGAGCTTAATCAAAGCACCTACAGGTCCTGGGATCTGACTGTCTTTTCCAGATTTCATCCCTTGGCTGGATACTCGAAAAGGGCTGCAGGGCTGAGATGTTTAAAGCATGAATGGAAAATTTCTAGCTTTCTTTCCCACTACCACCCCCCATGCATTGCTCCAGCCCAGTCTGAACACCACGAGGTATTTTAAAATAATTTCTACTTTGATGAATTGCTGGGGAGTCCACAATTGCTCATAATCAAAGGGAGAAAAATGCAAATGAGATCCGGCCGAGAACTATCACCACCAAACGTTTATTTCACTGCACAGTGCCAAAAAGAATTAAAACAACATTAAACTCACAGCAATCATGTTTAAGCCCTCGTTTCCAAGTGCCAAATTGCACCACTCTGGATCA